CGCACGCCAGCCGGGAGAGGGCTGCTGCAGGTGAGGTCGCACGCCAGCCGGGAGAGGGCTGCTGCAAGTGAGGTCGCACGCCAGCCGGGAGAGGGCTGCTGCAGGTGAGGTCGCACGCCAGCCGGGAGAGGGCTGCTGCAGGTGAGGTCGCACGCCAGCCGGGAGAGGGCTGCTGCAGGTGAGGTCGCACGCCAGCCGGGAGAGGGCTGCTGCCGGTGAGGTCGCACGCCAGCCGGGAGAGGGCTGCTGCCGGTGAGGTCGCACGCCAGCCGGGAGAGGGCTGCTGCCGGTGAGGTCGCACGCCAGCCGGGAGAGGGCTGCTGCAGGTGAGGTCGCACGCCAGCCGGGAGAGGGCTGCTGCAGGTGAGGTCGCACGCCAGCCGGGAGAGGGCTGCTGCAGGTGAGGTCGCACGCCAGCCGGGAGAGGGCTGCTGCAGGTGAGGTCGCACGCCAGCCGGGAGAGGGCTGCTGCAGGTGAGGTCGCACGCCAGCCGGGAGAGGGCTGCTGCCGGTGAGGTCGCACGCCAGCCGGGAGAGGGCTGCTGCCGGTGAGGTCGCACGCCAGCCGGGAGAGGGCTGCTGCAGGTGAGGTCGCACGCCAGCCGGGAGAGGGCTGCTGCAGGTGAGGTCGCACGCCAGCCGGGAGAGGGCTGCTGCAGGTGAGGTCGCACGCCAGCCGGGAGAGGGCTGCTGCAGGTGAGGTCGCACGCCAGCCGGGAGAGGGCTGCTGCAGGTGAGGTCGCACGCCAGCCGGGAGAGGGCTGCTGCAGGTGAGGTCGCACGCCAGCCGGGAGAGGGCTGCAGCAGGTGAGGTCGCACGCCAGCCGGGAGAGGGCTGCTGCCGGTGAGGTCGCACGCCAGCCGGGAGAGGGCTGCTGCCGGTGAGGTCGCACGCCAGCCGGGAGAGGGCTGCAGCAGGTGAGGTCGCACGCCAGCCGGGAGAGGGCTGCTGCCGGTGAGGTCGCACGCCAGCCGGGAGAGGGCTGCTGCCGGTGAGGTCGCACGCCAGCCGGGAGAGGGCTGCTGCAGGTGAGGTCGCACGCCAGCCGGGAGAGGGCTGCTGCAGGTGAGGTCGCACGCCAGCCGGGAGAGGGCTGCTGCCGGTGAGGTCGCACGCCAGCCGGGAGAGGGCTGCTGCCGGTGAGGTCGCACGCCAGCCGGGAGAGGGCTGCTGCAGGTGAGGTCGCACGCCAGCCGGGAGAGGGCTGCTGCAGGTGAGGTCGCACGCCAGCCGGGAGAGGGCTGCTGCAGGTGAGGTCGCACGCCAGCCGGGAGAGGGCTGCTGCAGGTGAGGTCGCACGCCAGCCGGGAGAGGGCTGCTGCAGGTGAGGTCGCACGCCAGCCGGGAGAGGGCTGCTGCAGGTGAGGTCGCACGCCAGCCGGGAGAGGGCTGCTGCAGGTGAGGTCGCACGCCAGCCGGGAGAGGGCTGCTGCAGGTGAGGTCGCACGCCAGCCGGGAGAGGGCTGCTGCAGGTGAGGTCGCACGCCAGCCGGGAGAGGGCTGCTGCAGGTGAGGTCGCACGCCAGCCGGGAGAGGGCTGCTGCCGGTGAGGTCGCACGCCAGCCGGGAGAGGGCTGCTGCCGGTGAGGTCGCACGCCAGCCGGGAGAGGGCTGCTGCAGGTGAGGTCGCACGCCAGCCGGGAGAGGGCTGCTGCAGGTGAGGTCGCACGCCAGCCGGGAGAGGGCTGCTGCAGGTGAGGTCGCACGCCAGCCGGGAGAGGGCTGCTGCAGGTGAGGTCGCACGCCAGCCGGGAGAGGGCTGCTGCAGGTGAGGTCGCACGCCAGCCGGGAGAGGGCTGCTGCAGGTGAGGTCGCACGCCAGCCGGGAGAGGGCTGCAGCAGGTGAGGTCGCACGCCAGCCGGGAGAGGGCTGCTGCCGGTGAGGTCGCACGCCAGCCGGGAGAGGGCTGCTGCCGGTGAGGTCGCACGCCAGCCGGGAGAGGGCTGCTGCAGGTGAGGTCGCACGCCAGCCGGGAGAGGGCTGCTGCAGGTGAGGTCGCACGCCAGCCGGGAGAGGGCTGCTGCCGGTGAGGTCGCACGCCAGCCGGGAGAGGGCTGCTGCAGGTGAGGTCGCACGCCAGCCGGGAGAGGGCTGCTGCAGGTGAGGTCGCACGCCAGCCGGGAGAGGGCTGCTGCCGGTGAGGTCGCACGCCAGCCGGGAGAGGGCTGCTGCCGGTGAGGTCGCACGCCAGCCGGGAGAGGGCTGCTGCCAGTGAGGTCGCACGCCAGCCGGGAGAGGGCTGCTGAAGGTGAGGTCGCACGCCAGCCGGGAGAGGGCTGCTGCAGGTGAGGTCGCACGCCAGCCGGGAGAGGGCTGCTGCAGGTGAGGTCGCACGCCAGCCGGGAGAGGGCTGCTGCAGGTGAGGTCGCACGCCAGCCGGGAGAGGGCTGCTGCAGGTGAGGTCGCACGCCAGCCGGGAGAGGGCTGCTGCAGGTGAGGTCGCACGCCAGCCGGGAGAGGGCTGCTGCAGGTGAGGTCGCACGCCAGCCGGGAGAGGGCTGCTGCAGGTGAGGTCGCACGCCAGCCGGGAGAGGGCTGCTGCAGGTGAGCTCGCATGCCAGCCGGGAGAGGGCTGCTGCAGGTGAGCTCGCACGCCAGCCGGGAGAGGGCTGCTGCAGGTGAGCTCGCACGCCAGCCGGGAGAGGGCTGCTGCAGGTGAGCTCGCACGCCAGCCGGGAGAGGGCTGCTGCAGGTGAGCTCGCACGCCAGCCGGGAGAGGGCTGCTGCAGGTGAGCTCGCACGCCAGCCGGGAGAGGGCTGCTGCAGGTGAGCTCGCACGCCAGCCGGGAGAGGGCTGCTGCAGGTGAGCTCGCACGCCAGCCGGGAGAGGGCTGCTGCAGGTGAGCTCGCACGCCAGCCGGGAGAGGGCTGCTGCAGGTGAGCTCGCACGCCAGCCGGGAGAGGGCTGCTGCAGGTGAGCTCGCACGCCAGCCGGGAGAGGGCTGCTGCAGGTGAGCTCGCACGCCAGCCGGGAGAGGGCTGCTGCAGGTGAGCTCGCACGCCAGCCGGGAGAGGGCTGCTGCAGGTGAGCTCGCACGCCAGCCGGGAGAGGGCTGCTGCAGGTGAGCTCGCACGCCAGCCGGGAGAGGGCTGCTGCAGTTGAGCTCGCACGCCAGCCGGGAGAGGGCTGCTGCAGGTGAGCTCGCACGCCAGCCGGGAGAGGGCTGCTGCAGGTGAGCTCGCACGCCAGCCGGGAGAGGGCTGCTGCAGGTGAGCTCGCACGCCAGCCGGGAGAGGGCTGCTGCAGGTGAGCTCGCACGCCAGCCGGGAGAGGGCTGCTGCAGGTGAGCTCGCACGCCAGCCGGGAGAGGGCTGCTGCAGGTGAGCTCGCACGCCAGCCGGGAGAGGGCTGCTGCAGGTGAGCTCGCACGCCAGCCGGGAGAGGGCTGCTGCCGGTGAGGTCGCACGCCAGCCGGGAGAGGGCTGCTGCAGGTGAGGTCGCACGCCAGCCGGGAGAGGGCTGCTGTAGGTGAGGTCGCACGCCAGCCGGGAGAGGGCTGCTGCAGGTGAGGTCGCACGCCAGCCGGGAGAGGGCTGCTGCAGGTGAGGTCGCACGCCAGCCGGGAGAGGGCTGCTGCAGGTGAGGTCGCACGCCAGCCGGGAGAGGGCTGCTGCAGGTGAGCTCGCACGCCAGCCGGGAGAGGGCTGCTGCAGGTGAGCTCGCACGCCAGCCGGGAGAGGGCTGCTGCAGGTGAGCTCGCACGCCAGCCGGGAGAGGGCTGCTGCAGGTGAGCTCGCACGCCAGCCGGGAGAGGGCTGCTGCAGGTGAGCTCGCACGCCAGCCGGGAGAGGGCTGCTGCAGGTGAGCTCGCACGCCAGCCGGGAGAGGGCTGCTGCAGGTGAGCTCGCACGCCAGCCGGGAGAGGGCTGCTGCAGGTGAGCTCGCACGCCAGCCGGGAGAGGGCTGCTGCAGGTGAGCTCGCACGCCAGCCGGGAGAGGGCTGCTGCAGGTGAGCTCGCACGCCAGCCGGGAGAGGGCTGCTGCAGGTGAGCTCGCACGCCAGCCGGGAGAGGGCTGCTGCAGGTGAGCTCGCACGCCAGCCGGGAGAGGGCTGCTGCAGGTGAGCTCGCACGCCAGCCGGGAGAGGGCTGCTGCAGGTGAGCTCGCACGCCAGCTGGGAGAGGGCTGCTGCAGGTGAGCTCGCACGCCAGCCGGGAGAGGGCTGCTGCAGGTGAGCTCGCACGCCAGCCGGGAGAGGGCTGCTGCAGGTGAGCTCGCACGCCAGCCGGGAGAGGGCTGCTGCAGGTGAGCTCGCACGCCAGCCGGGAGAGGGCTGCTGCAGGTGAGGTCGCACGCCAGCCGGGAGAGGGCTGCTGCCGGTGAGGTCGCACGCCAGCCGGGAGAGGGCTGCTGCAGGTGAGGTCGCACGCCAGCCGGGAGAGGGCTGCTGTAGGTGAGGTCGCACGCCAGCCGGGAGAGGGCTGCTGCAGGTGAGGTCGCACGCCAGCCGGGAGAGGGCTGCTGCAGGTGAGGTCGCACGCCAGCCGGGAGAGGGCTGCTGCAGGTGAGGTCGCACGCCAGCCGGGAGAGGGCTGCTGAACCGAGGGGGAAGGGGTAGGAGGGCGGGAAGGCCCTTAGGAAGAGGAAGCGAGTGGGAAAGGGGAGGAGGGCTGGATGGCCCGAAGGAGGCGGAAGCGATGGGGAAGGGGGAGGAGGGCTGGATGGACCGAAGGAGGAGGAAGCGAGGGGGAAGGGGGAGGCGGGCTGGATGGCCCTTAGGAGGAGGAAGCGAGGGGGAAAGGGGAATTAGGCTGGATGGCCCGAAGGAGGAGGAAGCGAGGGGGAAGGGGGAGGGTGGCTGGATGGCCCTTAAGAGGAGGAAGCGAGGGGGAAGGGGGAAGAGGGCTGGATGGCCCTTAGGAGGAGGAAGCGAGGGGGAAGGGGGAGGAGGGCGGGAAGGCCCTTAGGAGGAGGAAGAGAGGGGGAAGAGGGAGGGGGGCTGGATGGCCCTTAAGAGGAGGAAGCGAGGGGGAAGGGGGAAGAGGGCTGGATGGCCCTTAGGAGGAGGAAGCGAGGGGGAAGGGAGAGGAGGGCTGGATGGGGAGAAGGAGGAGGAAGCGAGGGGGAAGGGGGAGGAGGGCTGGATGGCCCTTAGGAGGAGGAAGCGAGGGGGAAAGGGGAAGAGGGCTGGATGGCCCGAAGGAGGAGGAAGCGAGAAGGAAGGGGGAGGAGGGCGGGAAGGCCCTTAGGAGGGGGAAGCGAGGGGGAAGGGGGAAGAGGGCTGGATGGCCCTTAGGAGGAGGAAGCGAGGGGGAAGGGGGAGGAGGGCTGGATGGCCCAATGGAGGAGGAAGCGAGGGGGAAGGGGGAGGAGGGCTGGATGGCCCTTAAGAGGAGGAAGCCAGGGGGAAGGGGGAGGAGGGCTGGATGCCCCGAAGGAGGAGGAAGCGAGGGGGAAGGGGGAGGAGGGCTGGATGGCCCGAAGGAGGAGGAAGCGAGGGGGAAGGGGGAGGAGGGCTGGATGGCCCTTAGGAGGAGGAAGCGAGGGGGGCGGGGGAGGAGGGCTGGATGGCCCGAAGGAGGCGGAAGCGAGGGGGAAGGGGGAGGAGGGCTGGATGGCCCGAAGGAGGAGGAAGCGAGGGGGAAGGGGGAGGAGGGCTGGATGGCCCTTAGGAGGAGGAAGCGAGGGGGAAGGGGGAGGAGGGCTGGATGGCCCTTAGGAGGAGGAAGCGAGGGGGAAGAGGAGGAGGGCTGGATGGCCCTTAGGAGGAGGAAGCGAGGGGGAAGGGGGAGGGGGGCTGGATGGCCCGAAGGAGGAGGAAGCGAGGGGGGAGAAGGGTGGGAAGGCCCTTAGGAGAAGGAAGCGAGGGGGAAGGGGGAGGAGGGCGGGAAGGCCCTTATTAGGAGGAAGCGAAGGGGAAGGGAGAGGAGGGTAGGATGGCCCTTAGGAGGAGGAAGCGAGGGGGAATGGGGAGGAGGGCTGGATGGCCCTAAGGAGGAGGAAGCGAGGGGGAAGGGGGAGGAGGGCGGGAAGGCCCTTAGGAGGAGGAAGAGAGGGGGAAGGGGGAGGAGGGCGGGAAGGCCCTTAGGAGGAGGAAGCGAGGGGGAAGGCGGAGGAGGGCTGGATGGCCCTTAGGAGGAGGAAGCGAGGGGGAAGGGGGAGGAGGGCGGGAAGGCCCTTAGGAGGAGGAAGACATGGGGAAGGGGGAGGAGGGCGGGAAGGCCCTTAGGAAGAGGAAGCGAGTGGGAAGGGGGAGGAGGGCTGGATGGCCTTAAGGAGGAGGAAGCGACTGGGAAGGGGGAGGAGGGCTGGATGGCCCTTAAGAGGAGGAAGCGAGGGGGAAGGGGGAGGAGGGCTGGATGGCCCGAAGGAGGAGGAAGCGAGGGGGAAGGGGGAGGAGGGCTGGATGGCCCGAAGGAGGAGGAAGCGAGGGGGAAGGGGGAGGAGGGCTGGATGGCCCTTAGGAGGAGGAAGCGAGGGGGAGGGGGGAGTAGGGCTGGATGGCCCGAAGGAGGCGGAAGCGAGGGGGAAGGGGGAGGAGGGCTGGATGGCCCGAAGGAGGAGGAAGTGAGGGGGAAGGGGGAGGAGGGCTGGATGGCCCTTAGGAGGAGGAAGCGAGGGGGAAGGGGGAGGAGGGCTGGATGGCCCTTAGGAGGAGGAAGCGAGGGGGAAGGGGGAGGAGGGCTGGATGGCCCGAAGGAGGAGGAAGCGAGGGGGAAGGGGGAAGAGGGCTGGATGGCCCGAAGGAGGAGGAAGCGAGGGCAGATGCTTGAATGATCAAGAGAAGCCTCCATAAAATAACAAACGTGCGTTGATTTGGCACCACATAATAGCACAGACCTATCCTTGTACAATTCTCCCTGCTCGCATGTTCGGAACATCATTTCTTCCTACCTGATCCTGCGAATGACACCAAACCTGCCCAGCATGTTTGGAATGTACTAAATGCTTTCATGATAAGAATAAACATTGTTTAAAATAACAAACGGGCGTCAATGGCACCATGTAGTAGCACAGACCTATCCTTGCGCAGTTCTCAGAAAAAAAAAACGGGGACAGACACGAAGCGTCAGACAGTTATGAAAACACATGGACCGTCAAGGCAGACAGCATCTGGCAGCAGCAGTGGAGAGGATTCTGCCCGGACAGTTGCGTAACCGTTTGGAGTCGCACGGTTGGATTTCGCTGTAATAAGGGAATGTACCCTTTAGAGTACATGACTAGTATGTCGTTTTGTATTCCCCTGTACCCTTATTTATTAACATTGTATTTCAATTTTTGTTGCTGTTTTATCTGGAATGATAAGAATGAATATTGTTATGAGCCAATCACATCGAAATTCATCCATGTTGGCCGCATGTTGTTGCTGAAATTTGGTTGAAGAGTATGAAATTGCACCTATTTGTAACCATTCGTGATACTTGTTAGCGCTAGAATTTGGTGTTTAGATGAAAATAGGGTTAGTAGCAGGGACGTTAAACTGTTCAGAATGCGCTGTACATTCTTCATTCCAGCGCATTGCTGTTGCGAGTCTTTGCACTTTTCTGTTGGTATTTCAGATGAACACGTCATCGTGAAAGTGTTATGTAATTGGTGTATCATAATTTTCGCGGACCTTGTTGGCGATTAAGTCTGTTGTGATTGGTCCTTTATCGCCAACACGCTGGATTCAAGGAAAGCTAGTTCGCTCCTGTACACCTTACGCAGTTGCGCTGGATTTTTCAACACCAGCGCAGCTGCTCGATTGCTGGTTGGTGCAGCACTTGCGCCTTGCGCAGTTGCGCTGGGTTTGGTAAACCCAGCGCAACTGATCAATTGCTGGCTGACGCAGCAATTGCACTTTGATGTTGCGCTCAATCTGGCAACAACAGCGCAATTGCAAATTGCGCGCAGTTGCCAGCAGCGCAACTGCTGCAGCTGCCAGCAGCGCAACTGCTGCAGCTGCCAGCAGCGCAACTGCTGCAGCTGCCAGCAGCGCAACTGCTGCAGCTGCCAGCAACGCAATTGCTGCATCAGCCAGTGCGCAATTGCTGGCGGCAGCTTCCCCAAGACCTTCCGAACTGCCACCCCCAGCCCTTTGCTAGCGCAAATTCCCCCCCGCAGCTCCTCACAACAACCCACTCAATTGCCCTCCATTGCCCTCTCTCTCATACCTCACTCCCGTCATTTTAGCAGTTGCATTCCGAACTTTCCTCTCCTAGGTATATCTCGCTTTCACGGTTCAGCTCAGCAGTTTTTCCTGCGCCTACCTTCAGCTCAGCAGTTTTTCATGGCGCCTTGCCTCCCCACCTTACCAGTCGCGACTGCTGTAGTAAAGCTTCGACTTACAGTTTTTATTATTTTCCAGCTTTTTTCTAATGTTATTGTTGGGATATGCCCTGCGTGCTAACTCTGCCAACGATATCTCGCTACTTGTCATTCTTGCAGGGATTTGTACGTCACTCCGCTAACCTGCTAACATGGCGTGCATTTCTCTACGTTTGTATTCTTGCAGGTCTTAATTTCATACTGCAGGTCTACGTGCAGGTCTTTCTGTACTTGCAGGTCTTAATTTCATACTGCAGGTCTACTTGGCATGTCGATTTGTTTTGCTACCCGTGCTGTTATTTTTTTTTCTATGTCTAACAATCGAGATTGTTTGTGTTTTGGTTCGGCTGTTTTAAGGGTGTTGTAGCTGAAGCCGCAGTAGCTATGGTGTGCAGCCGTTATTGTTTTGAGCCGCAACACAGGAAGCTGTGACAATGGTATGGTGTACCACCAGCAGGATATATGAGTAGTGCTTAGCACCGTTGTGCCCTCTATATTATTTAGATTTGTAATGTAATTTATCAATAAAAATTAACCATTACGGTATTGATCTGTGAAAACCATACTAACAAGCTATATGTTGAAAGAAGTGAATTATTGCACCACAGGTTGACCAGAATGGTACAAATTTAGGTCAGGTCTAGGACAAATCCAGTTCCCTAAAAATACCCTGCTTGGTCCATTTTGATACCAAAATTGGATCTTGATTTTGGCCAGTTTCAACCCTGAATTTGGCCAGATTTCAACCTTCCAACTAGGCCAAAATTGGTCCAACAGCTTGGACCAAATTTGGACCAAAATTGGTCAGCTAGGACCAAATTTGGACCAATTTTGGACCAAATCAATAGGGGTTGTTTTGTGATGATGTTCGGATCGCCCAGGTGACGTGTTCGACCCTAGACGAACACGAACACGTTTGTGCGCCTCTTGATCATCCTCAGTCATAACTATGCTCTCCAGTGTTCCTGACAAGTCCGTGTTATTCCCTCATCAGAGAGCTGCGGAACAACACCTTCAATGGAGCGATTCCCAACTCCATTGGGAAGCTTTCAAATCTGCGTACTTTGTAAGTGCCAGTCCTCTTGAACTAGGGATGAGCAAGAGGCAAACACGAACGTGTTCGCGTTCGCCCCTGCACGAACACCGCCGTTCGGCGAACCGAACAACGTTCGGTTTGGCGAACACCTTTCCCCAAAAAAGGTGTTCGCCGTTCGCCTGTAAAGGCGAACACCTTGGTTTCGCGGCAAACCCGTTCGTATTCGCTTTTGTGCATCCTCTGTTACGCTCGAAATACGCAACGGCGGGCAGGGGAATTGCGGGAAACTGGGGGAAAAAATATAGGCTGGCTTTGCCATATTTTTGCTTATCCAGCTCGCCACCTGGATTTCCCCCCCAGGTAAGGCGAAATGCTCTCCCCCCTCTAGATCTACGAAATTTGCGATTGCTCGCCACTCCCCCACAATCCCCGAACTTACAAAAAATGCGAACGCTATTCCTATCAATCCCCAACTTACGCAATTCGCGAATGCTTTCCCCAACCCCATGCATACGAAATTTGCGAATGCTTACCCCCAACCCCCAACTTACGAGATTCTGCAGTATTCCTGTCTAATCCCTTCCCGACAACCTAAATCTCACCTACCCAAGTCTAGTCAGACTAACGTAAGGTAACAATTTACTTACGCTAAGTCCTAATGAGGTGTTAATGGCGTGATGTGTGGGGGGCGTGGTAGTAATGGCTGCTTCTGAATAGGGCGACTAAGTTTGAGCTCAAATTTGAGCTCAAACCGAATGTCCCGCAACCCTAAATTGTAGATCGCGGGACAGTCGCGACGAACACATTCGTGTTCGTTTTTGCCCCAAAACGAACATGAACGTGTTCGTGTTCGTCGCGGCTCGGCACCCACGACGAGACGAACACCGAACGTGTTCGGGCGAAAACCAAACACGTTCGCCCGAACATTTTTAGCCAAAAAAAAATCCTGTTCGACCCTTTTTTGAACTTGCCTCAAGTTGGAGGTGTTCACGCCTTGAGCTATGCAGTTAGTCAAAAACATATTTTCAGCCCCGGTTTTGTCTCGCGACCAACAAACCGGGAACGCCTGATATGCGAGTGTCAAACTTGAACCTGTGCGTGGCCCAACGCGAACCTACTACTTGAGCCTTCCCGATGTAGGCGCTCCCAATATTGATTATATCATTTTTTTCTACCATTGGGATACTCCACCCGCTGCCATGCCACGAGCTCCGTGCCCTTCGATTGTGTTTTCCAGCTGTCTCCGATGGATTCTGTTCTGCTTCTGTACTCTTTAATTTCCAATTTATTCACCATTACGAGACATACAGATTGTTCAACTGTTGTGAGTTTGATGTTGCTTTTGGGGGTGGTTATGATGCTACATGGATCCTGTAAATTGTTTTTCTGGTCATGATCTCACTCACATAACGAAGGTAAGCTGTGAAGAAATAAGCAAAACATAGCTGTATGACGCAACCAGCAGACAGAGTGTATGTATATCCCTCAACCATGCAGTCACAGTGATCCACCTCCGAGGTGGATGAGTTGAGCTAAGACAAGCTCGCTCCCTATAAGGCAAAGCGAGCCCTCAGTCTGACATGGCTGGTCTTGAGCTGGAGCATTTCAGTTCGTGACGAGATGAGCGGGCGAGATGGCTGAACGTTCTAGACTGCCGAGCCAACAAGCTTAGGCATGATAAATTGGCCCGTTCAGGTCGGGCCCGCCCGACCCGACCCAGGAAAATGGCCGGGCCTGGTCAGGACTTTCAATGTCCTGGCCCGGGCGGGACGAGTCGGTCCGGCTCGGGCGAAAAACCCGCCTGATGTTGAATTCCGGGTCGGGTTGGGTCGGGTCGGGCCTCGGCCGACTTTGACCCGACTTGGAATCGGGTCAAATAGAGGGTAACCGATTTTGACACTAGGGAAAACCCTAACTAACCGTCAGCCCAGAAGTCCTAGTTTGTAGTCACATACTAGTCGACTATGTGCAAGGGATCAATGTCAAGTGATCTGTAAAGAGTGGGAGAGGGGGGGATGGGAACTGTAGACCCAGTGCGGTTAAGGGTGATGAGCAGAGCAGTGGCGAATCGGTTGGAAATCTGTGCATCACATTTGTGGAAACAAGTGCATAGCCTGAGATGCTCATGCCTAAACAAGCTGATGCTCATGCCGAGCCGGGTCGGGCCAGCTGCTCATGCCTAAACAAGCTGAGCTGCCAGCTGGGCCACGTACTCTTTTCGAATCCGGATTAATGTCACGTGCGTGCATGCATGCCCTCATTGTCTTATCGGATCCCTTGTTTCCAACTCATTGAATGGCATAATTTTCCAGTCAATTACCAACCTTGCAAATCTTTGTCACAAGTAGGTAGGATTGTTGCTGGTTCGAGGAGGGGGGAACACTTCGTGACTATCTGGGCAGGGCAGGTTGTCCCTTGACATGGCACTTTCGTGTGGTCGGTCGGGTCTCA